AACTTAGTCTCATTCATTCAACTTGATAATTAAAGCGGAAAAACTATTTTCTGTTGTGTTCTCTTTATTTAACAAAAAGAAGTCATTGGCGCTGCAAATCAGTGAGAAATCAGCAATTGTAAGCATTATCTCCATTAAAAATATTTTTGAAAATACAGACAGTTCTATAGAATAAAAAGGTGGTGTGGATTTTTTTTAATTTGTTGACAAAACATGGTACCACTTTAATACTGCTGTTCAGCCTTTTGTGACCAAAGATCTCCACAGTTCTCTTTTTTTTTTTTCTAATTTTAAATAACCACTGTCCTGGAATGGAAGCAAAGCAAAATACCTCATTTAAGTTTGTTGACTAAAATCTGAAGAATTTAATGTAGTTATACCAGAATATACAAGCAGGTTTCAAAATAAGACAAGAAATCCTGAAAGTTTTTTCAGTGACTGAAATTTCTTAATATAACTTTGTTTCATTTTATTTCATAGAAAATAATAGAAAATAAGAACAGAAAAGGCAGAAAAATAGAAAGCAATCCTTAGCTTTTTAGTTTTTAGTCTGCATTAGTTTTTATGTTGCATATCGTATGTGATGGGCATTGGTAAAAATCAGACAAGTTATTTACTCTGATCAATCTAGATTTAAGTTACCGTATAAATCAGAGAATGTGCTGTAGCTCTGTAAAGGGTGTATAAAAGATTTTGACAGTCTACTTCCCTCTTATGTTTGAAAGTAAATATTTCTTGAATTATGACTGCAATAACCAACTATCATCAAATATCTATTTGACAATGTATACAGAATAAATGTATCTTTATATATCTTTATTTTTATAGCAAATATCAATTAGTTTGCCATTCATGAGCATGAGCTTCTCTGGTATACTGTAAAACTCTTCCTTGGTATAAGTAGATTCCTGTTATTCCTCATTCTTGTTGTGCTTGGAGAGGAGACACTATGGGATAGAGCATGAAAGATATCTAAGAAGGAGCCTTGAATAGGGACACGAGGAAAATGAATCCTATAGATCACTCTTGATTGAAAACAGGTCAGTATTTGTTTCTTTTTTTAAAAAATAAAGTAAAATAAAGGTAAATTTTTCAACAGAGAGCTTAAAAAGAGTAATGAATTAATTTAATTAAAAATCTCATTTTCTTCTACTAGGCTTATTTCCTAGAATGATTTTGATAATGATTAGAAAGTAAATGAAATGGGATTGAGGGCTCATGTGTCTTCTTTGCCGTAATCATTAGCTAGCTCTTTTAGTCTTTTAGAGAGTTTCTAAACTCTTTCTCTTTTTTTAGAGAGTTTAGAGAAAAAGGTCACAGCAGACTACTTAGGGCAACTTCTAGCCTTACCAGAACAATATATCATCAGATGAAATCATGTAGGCTTATGGCTTGTCTAAATCTTGGAAAAAGAAAAATTCTGGGGAAGAGTTTACTGACTCAGCTTCTTTTACAAATGTTATCCACTTATCCTTACACCTCTTAAAAGGTGACTCTGTAAGTTAAAGATATTAATGCTGCAACTTTTCTTTCTTTTTTTTTTTTTGCATATTTAACAAAGCGGAGGGTGGCTGTATTTTTTCTGCACTTTTCCCATCTCGTCAACATCTATCATTTCAACGCAGAATACGTCCCAGTAATTACTGCCTTGGCAATGGCTATTGCAAACAACAGGACAACTGCATAGGAGAAGGACGACTCTCTTAGGAAGCCTAAGGATGCACTGCGGTTTCTGTGGTGTCACTCAGGACCTCTGAGTCTTGATCTAAACTGTTACTACACGGCCTACAAGCCGTCCAGGTTCCGTGAAATAAAGGCTACTTACCAGCCCTGTGATATAAAACATCTCAGAAGGGATGTAGCTTCATTAAAGAAGCTTGTATTACAGCCGAAGGTTGGGGAGGCAATGTGAAGGGGTGGATGATTTTCTCTGGGGTGTTTGTGTATGTTTATTCACACACATGCATACATTGCACACATAGACACACACACATTGCAAAGTGTGATTTGACAACCACTGTACTGTCCTAAAGAAACAAGAACCTAAACATTCATTAAAGGTTTCAGGTGCTGAATGAAATATGCTGTCATCAGATTGTTACGACTGTAGCAACCAGAGCGGAATGGGGACCGGTTGTGTATAAATCTGAGTTTACATTTTTCGCTAAAAATTACTTTAAGTTAGCTTAACATAATGGAATGACTCCTCTTGAAAGCCCCACATTATAGCTGCATATAGCTAAATGTGCAGAATTGCTTATTAACATGCTGATTCCTATGTATAAATTAAATAATAGAAATCCTACATAAAATAATTGATTGCAAGAAGAAGTATATAAGAACGGTTACTTGCATTTCATTCAAATACCATGAAAATACAGCAGAAATGGAACAAATATATCCTAGTTGAAGACAGTTGCCTAATATGGCACTCTGGCAACATTCCTCCAGCTCTTTGCACGAGACGTGCACTCACCAAGGGAGCAGCGTGGTGCAATCTGGAGTCTCTGTAAGACCAGGAAAAATCAACCCTTACACAGTTTCTAGCTAATAAAGTCAGAAGATGTTTCCTCTCTGAAATCTGATAAATTTCACTCTCTTATTTCAATTTTGTCTCCACATAAGGGGCGTTTTGCTTCGGTGCTCTCGTGCCTCCGCTGCTCTTCTCTGGGAGGTGTCTGGAGTTCCCCTTCCGCAGGGGCTCCAGCGAGTTTCTCATCACGGGAAAACTAAAGATGGGAACAAGAGCAGCAAGTGCAGCCGTGGGGATTGCAGGAGGGCTGGAGCATTCCTGGGTGATTTGCTTGTGTGCAGCTAACAGTGTCAGGGCGCAGTCACAGCTCCAGCTGGGAGCAATTAGGAGGCCAATTCCCTAACGCTAGAGTAAGTAGGTGCAAAACAGACATAACAAGCTTTTCTTCTTACTTTATCCTCTAAAAATATACCACTGCATTGAGTTGCAAGGCAGTCGTGGTCTGGTGGGTGAAACCTGCGCGCCCTTGCTTACATGTGCAGTTATTTCAGCTGCGTGTTTGTTCCAAGCCGTCCTGTTTGTATCCCCCGCAGGTTCAGGTGCTTCGCAACGCCGGGGAGGAGGTGACCCTCACCGTGTCCTTCCTGAAAAGGGCTCCTGCTTTCCTCAAGCTGCCGCTGAACGAAGACTGCGCATGTGAGTGCTCGCTGCGCGGGGAGAGCGGAGCGGCAGAGCAGTGTGCGGGGCAGCAGAGCAGTGTGCGGGGCACGCAGTGTGCGGGGCAGCAGAGCAGTGTGCAGGGCAGCAGAGCAGTGTGCAGGGCACACAGTGCGCGGGGCACACAGTGTGCGGAGCAGCAGAGCAGTGTGCGGGGCACGCAGTGTGCGGGGCACGCAGTGTGCGGAGCAGCAGAGCAGTTTGCGGGGCATGCAGTGTGCGGGGTACGCAGTGTGCGGGGCAGGAGAGCAGTGTGCGGGGC